TATTTTCAGTTTGTATTGTACCATTGCAAATAAAGCAGGGATTGAAAATTCTATGGATAAACCAGTGTTTAAAAAACTTAAGTCGAAGTAGCAAAAGTAATAAAATTTTCGCTTCTCACTGCTTCGACTTATTGTAACTGTTCAAAATTTACTTATTGCTTGTGCTTACGCTTATGAGACAAGACGACAGTCGCAGTCGAAGCTCAAGCAAAAACTGATTGCCGACAAAATGCGCAGAGCTGCTGGCAGTCGTTGGTTTAACAGTCGCAGTCGAAGTTCAAGCAAAAACTGATTGCCGACAAAATGCGCAGAGCTGCTGGCAGTCGTTTTTATAGACAGCTCTAAATTAAGTTTAAAAGCAGTATTGTTACATAACCAAAATATTTTACCATCGATCCCTATTGGTCATGCAGTCCATATGAAAGAATCTTATGATAACATGAAAACCCTTTTGCTGCAGATAAAATATAATGATCACCAATGGCTAATTTGCGGAGATTTAAAAGTCGTAGCTATTCTACTTGGACTACAATTAGGCTATACGAAATTTTGTTGCTTTCTTTGCGAATGGGACAGTCGTGACAGAAAGCAGCATTATACAAAAAAAGTGTGGCCTCATCGTCAGTCACTTCAGCCTGGGATGAAAAATGTTCAAAATAACCCTTTAGTTGACCCACAAAAAGTGTTACTTCCACCACTGCACATAAAACTAGGGCTTATGAAAAATTTCGTAAAAGCAATGAACAAAAATGGAACTGCTTTTCACTACCTTCGCCAGAAATTTCCAAGATTAAGTGAGGCTAAAATAAAAGAAGGTATATTCGTTGGTCCCCAAATAAGAAATTTATTAAAAGACGAACACTTCGACACTATTTTGGAAGGCAAAGAAAAAAAAGCCTGGGACAATTTTCGCCTCGTGACAAAAAACTTCTTGGGAAATAAGAAGAGCGACAACTACGCTGAACTTATTGAAAATATGTTGTCATCTTACCAAGAACTGGGTTGTAACATGTCCCTGAAAATCCACTTTTTACATTCTCATTTGGACTTCTTTCCGGATAACTGTGGGGCCTTTAGCGATGAACATGGGGAGCGCTTCCACCAGGACATCGCTAACATGGAAAAACGATATCAGGGCAAGTGGAACGTTTCAATGTTAGCGGATTACTGCTGGACTATTCATCGAGATACTCCAGAAGCAGAGTACAAAAGGGCAGCGAAGAAACCACGTCGCAATTCTACTAATGAATAAAATAACGGTATAATTTCTGTTATTTTTTCAAAAAACTTTAAAATTTTTTTTTTAAGAAATGGAAACTAATTAAAAAAATATAATTGTAATTTCGTATGCAGTATGTCAACATAAATAAAAAAAGCTACTTACACTAGAAAATACTTTTTCAAAATCAAAATTTGTATACTAGTGTAATACAACACACCTTCTGTTCAATCAGAGACTAAGATGGCATCAAGGCGCAACACTTTTTACGCAAATGCTGCTGCTTTCTCGACGAGAACCCTTTGCGGCGCGGCCGTGAACGATTATATCATAGTATACTTTATAAATTTGAGGAATGTGCGGATTAGCACAATTGTGATTCTAATCACGAATATGAGGATTTCGGCGTGATGAAGGCACTTTCAACACGCCGAAACCTAATGTTTAAAAATAAAAGAAATAAAAAGAAAAAATGCGTTTTCGCAAAAATCAGAAGTGGGATGATAAGTTAAATCGTATAAAACTTATTTAAACATAAAAATCATTTTGTTTATCTGCATCGATGAAGGATACTCGTAAACATTGTTGTCGAATGCAGAAGCCATGCACACAGACGAAAACACTAAGCACGATTTTTTTTTATACTTGTAACTGGCATAATCAGTAAATCTAATTTTCAACCAGCGCTATAATTCAATAAGTGATTTCCGACTTCGACCTTAAGTGTAGCATGCAAACGCAGTCAACATAAACAGCAGCTAAAAGTAAACTCAAATAAAGAAACATTAAAGTCGCAGTCCATTGACACTTCACACACACACACACACACACACACTTACAACATACAACAGAACGGCATTTAATAATCCAAAATATTGAACGCTGTTCTGTTGCGTAAATACAAATCAATAATGCCTAGTCAGCAAGACTCCGATCATGGGGAGGCCACTGCCCATGTCGCTAAGTGCACTGCCGCACATACAATGTATTAAACAATATTAGCGATCATCGACTCTGCTGACTGAAGCATTGGCCATAGTACTTAGTACTTACAACGTACCAAACCATAACACTGAACGCTGCCTCAGTTGACTTACCCAAAATATGTTGACC